ACCTCGGTAATATATTCATCTTAATTGTAACTGTTCTTCCTATTAGGGATAATTGCAAGTTTTCCCATTTCAGGTCCAGCGCCTGAATTTTGATCACCTGACCATGGGGACGCTGCAAAGGTTGTAAGAATGAAAAATGGTCATAAGTCACTTTTTTCCAGGGCTGTCGTAACTCTGAACGGTCACTAAATGAACTGTTGTAAGTCGAGGACTTCCTGACTAAACATAGCATTTTGGAAGTATGACCATTTTCTGTATGGCTTCTCTTTGAGTCATAGGACAAGGAAGAACTGAAGTGCATAACGCCAGATGTGACATTACAAGGCAAAATCATGAAAACGTCTCTCATTTACTTTGGCCATGACTTTGGGGAAAGTGCAAAGAAGAGCAACGAAGATGATTAAAGGCCTGGAGACAAAAAACTAGGAAGAACAGTTGCGGGAATTGGGTGTGGCTATTCTAGAGAAAAGAAAGACCAGTGGGGGGACATGATAGCAGTGTTCCAGTATTTCAGGAGCCTTGGTGGTGCAGTGGTTAAAGTTCAGTACTGCAGGCTACTTCTGCTGCCTGCCGGCTGCCTGCAATTTGGCAGTTCAAATCTCACCAGGCTCAAGGTTGACTCAGCCTTCCATCCTTCCGAGGTTGGGTTAGTTGAGGAGCCAAATTGTGTATTGTGGGGGGAAGGGGCTGACTCTGTAAACCACTTAGAGAGGGTTTACAGTGTAAAAGCCCTGTAAAGTGATATATATGTACTGTTGCTATTTGAGAGGCTGCCACAAAGAAGAGGTGGGTCAAGCATTTTTCCAAAGCACCTGAAGGCCAGACAAGGAATAATGGATGGAAACTGAAAAAGGAGGGATTCAAATTTTCCGGCAGTGAGAACAATCCACCCATGGAACCGAAGTTGCCTTCAGAAGTTGTGGGAGCTTCATCGCTGGAAGCTTTGAAGAAGAGACTGGACTGCTGTCTGTCTCAAATGGTGTAGCATCTCCTGATTAGTCAGGAGTTTGGACTAGATGACCAGCAAGGTCCCTTCCGACTCTGTCATTCTGTTATAAGCCATTATGTTTGGAAAAGTTAGCGGTAAAAGGAAGGCCATGAAAGGACAGGGTGGCTGGACACGATGAAAGCTAAGAGAGAAGAGAAAAACTTAAGTAGTGCAAGACTAGAAGATGAGGAGAAATCTAGCCCAGAGAATGACCAAGAGTTGGACTCCATTGAACTCATAGCATCATCATTATCATCATCATCATATTCTTTGAGGATGATGCTATGAGTTCAATGGAGTCCGACTCTTCACCCAACCTTCCTTGCGTCCTTAAGTCTTCTGATTAAGATTCTCTGAGGCTTCTGTTGCAAACAACGTGTCCTCTTCGATGAGAGCCTTGCGGAAAAGCCCCAAGAAGGAAGCTCGGCGCCGGAGTCCTCTGCTCCGGATGTAGCCCACAAAGCCGTAGAGCACCGGGTTGATGCAGCTATGCAAGTAGGCCAAGGCATTGGAGACCTTGAGTGCAATCCCCCAAAGGGCGTTTCCGCTCCAGATGGTGTTCAGCAGCACGAAGATGTGGTGAGGCAGCCAGCAGATGAAGAACAGGGCGACAATGGCGGCCACCACGCTGATGGTGCGGTGGCAGCCCTTCCAGCGCCGCTCGCGAAGCTTGCAGAGCAGAACGGAGTACGCCGTGGAGATGATGACGAAGGGGAGGAGGAAGCCGCCGAAGAACCTGCTCATTCTCAGGGGCAGTTCGGTCGAGGTCCTGAGAGCCTTGTGGTAGATGCAACAGGAGGCACCATTCCTGACTTCGATCGTGCGGACCACCAGGTAAGGGATGCTGAAGAACAAAGCCAGGGTCCATGCTCCGATGCACATCAGGGTTTGAAAACGAGGACTTTGGTGGTTTCGGGCCCACACGGGCTTTACTACCATCAGGCAGCGATAAAGGCTGATAACCGTGAGGACGAAGACGCTAGCGAAGCTGGTAAGGTAGCGGACAAAGCTGTGGACCTTGCAAAGCATGAGGCCAAAGGGCCACTGCTGGTACATGATCTCTTGCACGAGGGCAGGGATGCGGCCCACAGAGAAGAGGAAGTCGGCCACAGCCAGGTTGAGATAGCAGATGGAGGTGAAGGTTTTGTGCTTCTTACGAGTAATGATGATCCACATGACCAGCCCGTTGCCGAAAACACCCAAAACCAAGGTGATCACATTGGTGACGATAGCAATGTGGCGCATGACTTCTTCCACCACGGTTACATTACGGAGGCAATAAGAGACATTCGTGGTTGCCTAAAAAGAATAAGAGGGTAAGATTCAATGTGGGTTCCTATTTTTCTAAATCTCATACTTCTGGAGTGGCGGATGGGTGGGGGAGGCAACATACAGTCCTGCAGTCACAAAGAACCCCCAAAGGTTTTCCTGCAGCCAATTTCCAACTCAGTTACTAAATCTTGGCCTACTATAAAGGTAAAGGTTCCCCTCGCACATAAGTGCTAGTCGTTCCTGACTCTAGGGGGCGGTGTTCATCTCCGTTTCAAAGCTGAAGAGCCAGCGGCTGTCCGAAGACGTCTCCGTGGTCATGTGGCNCAGGCACCGTCCCAACTGGAGATGCCTCCCAGTCACACCACTCCAGGTGCAGGGCAAGATGTCCTTGACTCTCTGAGAAAGGAATGTTATTATGGCTAGATATCCCTGCAACTCCATGCAATCCCCTCTCTCAGTTTCCCACTAAGTGCAGGGGTGGATTCGGACCAGTTTGGGCAAACCGATAGCTCTGACTGTCAGCTGGAGGGGGAACCAGTTCGCTCCGACTTTCTGAAGCCCAGCTGATAGGCATGGCAGAGTGGACATCCTCAGCTGTTTTCCTCCCCAGCAGAAATGCAAAAGGTGATTTCTCTGTAAACTCTGCATGAGCGCACAATGCTGTTGTTAAACCGGTAGGATCCCATCTCTGACTAAGTGTGCAAGCCCTGAGGATCCAAAGAAAAAGATGGCCCCCGGGGCTGACAATAAATTTTGGACTCAATTGTGGTCGTAAGTCGAGGACTACCTTTAATTTTAAAGAGTGATGAGTCAGTATTGACTCCTGGTCACTGCCTTAACCATTCACTGGCAGTTTTCTTGGTAAGATTTCAGAATTAGTTGCCGTTGACGCCTTCTGAGGACTGAAGTCACTCAGCTGACTTTGTGCCTAGAGCCATGATGGCGAACCTCTGGCACGCATGGAACGCAGAGCCCTCTCTGCTGGCATGCGCGCCATTGACCCAGGTCAGATCTCTGTGGCATTTTTTCCATGAGCTTCTGTTTCCCTGCAAATGACAAAACAGAAACTCACAAAAGAAAAAAGATCTTACCTCTTGCCATGCTGCCCGTGTTGGGATGCCCTGCCTCCCGCCAGCCAGCTGGCCTTTGGCTCACTGCTGCATATGCATGTCCACGCATGTCTGTGCATGCTCACACATGTCCGCACCAGTGGCGGGTTCTGGAAGTACGCCCCGGTATGGGCGTACCAGTTGCAGCTGGGAGCAGCAGCCATCGTACCAGAACAGTGTTTTGGAGGGCCAACCTGCCCGCCCGTGGGCCTTACCTGTATTTAAGCCAACCGGGCCATTTGCACACACACACACACACAGTGTACAGCGCCTGCGTGGCATCCGCCAAGTAGCTGGAGCATCACAGGGCGGTGGGTGCGCATCAGGGGTGGGTTCCTGCCAGTTCTAACCTCTTCTATAGAAGAGGTTCCACAAATCTACCGTGCCGTTTAAAACTGGTTCCAGCTCCCTCTCCCCGCCCATCCACACATCATCAAGATGAAGAGCGAGAGGAGGAATTCTGGGAGTTGAAGTCCACAAGTCTTAAAGCTGTCAAGTTTGAACACCCCTGGGTTTTTTTTCTAAAGGTTTATGGTGCAAGGATCTT